TACATCAACTTCTTAGCAGAACTTTAACTTTCATATTGATCAGTATAGTTTTTACATATAATTTAAATTTTTTATTGGTATCAATCATTTTTGGTGCTATGAACAAGTCAAAAAATTTTTTTGGAGTGTCAGCTTCTTTTCCTTATTCTTTTACTCCTGGCAGATGAAGAACTAAATTTTCTTAAGAAATAAAATATTCACAATATAATAATATTAAAAGATATATATTTACTTTATTATTTTTTAATAAATAATTTTATTATTAATTTAATGAACCTTTATTTACTACTCTATCATTGAGCAGGAGCTAGATGGTGAGTTGATATTTATAGACTTTAGCTCAATAATATCTCTGTTGATTTTCTCTGATTCATCAACGTGTTAATATGTTGACACAAATCTTTATAATGTTCTCGGGATAACATTTTCATATCCCGAAGTTTTGGGCACAAAAACGTCGAAATTTGGTGGAATATATATCTATTTGAAATTTATCCACAAATATTTCCCGGCATCTTTGCGATAGCTGGTTTAACTGAGGTTAGGATGCGCTAAAAAACTCAATATTTTATGATAACACAATATAACTTTGTGAATAGTGGGTTTTAAATCACTCTCAAGTTCATCACTCGCAATTTTAAAAGGCGTCAGAAACTTGATAAGATCCCTCATCATTTCAAAATCAATATTTTAGAGTCTAATCGACTCTCCTCTGGATTTGAGGATCTCCAATATTTCATTAAATTGATTAAAAATCGATCAATCATATTTAGCCTGCTATTCCATCTAGTCTCAACACACATATGGAGAGTTTTATCGAGTTGATTATTTAATAAAAAGTTAATTTAACATACCCACTCTGTTTCATATAAGTTACTAAACATTACAATCAACAAAACATTGATATATCTCCGAACCACTGTATTTAATAGATGAGAAGAACAATTTAATCTTTTATGATTTTCAAAAGCTTTAATCATAAATGCTCCTTGGTCGGTAATGATTGGAAGTTCCGATAAGTATGCCCTGCTGTATCCTGATATAAAGAATGCATTGATTTTTATAAATATTTTTAATGAAATCAATACCTAACAAGGCGAAATATCTTATAATTTCCTTTTTAATATTTTCACCTTTTTTCTTCTTCATACTTGCATGTAAATAATACAACTTTATTAAGTTTCCAGGAATCATTTAAGAAATGAATTGTAAGAGTTACATAGGATATTATCTTATAATCATCAGTCCAAAGGTCTGTGGTGGCTATAAAAAATTAATAATAATTTAACCATATTTTCATAAATTTGTTACCAGCACATCGACCCTTTTTCATATATGCGTTTAATTTCTGAAATAATTTATTGCGTATACCATCAGCAGTACCTATTAAATTTCTAGAAATTGTCGTGGGATTTGGAATGATGCTTTTAACATCAATATTTCCATATATTGAACCAATTTTGCAAAATATTGGCAACAATCAACAAAGCCTTCCCCATGAATTGTATCAAATGATCTCAGATCACGTCCACAAAACATAGTAAGCACCTTTGTACACTCTTTTTTTAATTTGGTACAACTTTTGAGTTTTTTGAGATCAGTACCAAAAAGGCTATCAATTGTTAATTGAGTCTTTTTACTCTATTGTATATACACATTTATGCCTTTTTAGTTGATTTGTGCCTAAAATAATTTAATAAGATCATATTTTATGTATAAATATCTAACCTGTTGTAATTGAATTATATACATTAATAAATTTGCAAATAATGCAAATCACATAATTAAATTTTTCTTTGTTTTCATCATATATAAATGAAAACTTTCCAGAAATCAGATTTGCCGCCATTGTCATTTCCCCTTACTTCATACTCATTGATCCTAATCTTTTAGCCAATTTTTTTTAATTTGGCATCCATTGAAATAATTTTTTTTATATGAGTCTATTTAATTAGGGCTGTGTCTAAAATCTAAAATAAATATTTAAAATGACTTTAATCAATTAGATTGAAATAAATATCAACATGCATTGAAAAACTACATGTTAGAAATAGGAATTATCCTATTTGTTTATTCATTTATATATTTTTGGTCCACTTCTTTAAATGACTATAACAATACTCAATCTCAAAAACTTTAACCTCTATCCTGTTTATAAGTTCAACCCATTTAAATTTTAAATAGAAATTAGTATAATATTAATAACTATCAATCTACTATTCAAAATCAACTATTTAAATACTAATAACAAAACAATACTAGATTTAAGAGTTTATCATTAATCTATTGAATTTTAGAACTAGTTTTAGATTCAATCTCTATATCTATTAGAATTTTTACTAGATTTGAGAGATGATTTAAATCTTTAATAATTAGTATTTCAACATTAAATTTTAACATTAGAAAAATTTAATATGTAAGAAAGATCTACTTACCACAGATTATGGTAAAAATAATATGGATAAGGACAATTTTACTACTACTAATTACAGAAAGCGAATAAATAAGGTTATTAGGATTATTTTAAAAATAATTATGACCAATTTGTATTTGGAAAAAAACAGCATTATAGAAAGTTTTATAGGAGAATGTATATAATAAAATAATAAATGAAAGAATAAAACTTATCTTTAGTACATAAAATAGTTTGTCTTGTCTTATCTTGTACCTCACTGGGGAAACACCCAATTAAGTGATAAAATATTTTGGTATCCGGTTGTTATGTAAATTATAAAATAATAATTGATAATGACATGACATGTTATTATGATTGACATTTTAAGGATAAAATGTGATAAATAAAAAATGATATGATTTTATAATTAATATAAATTATAATGACTATTTAGGATATTAATATTATTATTTATTTTTCGGGTCGGACAGCTCTTACAACCTGACCCGAGCCAGAACCCGAAAAAAACTTTTTTCATGTCCGAACCCGACCCGATCTCGCCGGGCTACGTACAGCCCGTGCAGTCGTCTAGGATACACTCATCTTTATAAGGTATAGACAAAAAAATAAATATTTTATTCAGATTGTAGGCGACCTCAGCGAAGGATTTTGCCTTAGTCAGTCTCGAAACTGCCGATCCAATTTCCTAAATATTCACTCTTCTCTTTAAGGTGGACATATACCACCTTTTTTAAGTTTTTTTAAAAATGTTTTTTTATATATATTTTTTCATATAATTTTTAATATATTCTTATTTTTTTTAAATATAATTTATTTTTATATCCGTTTATATGCATTTTATTTTTAAATTGAAACCGTTTTTTAAATAAAATTATTCAAAAAAAATTATATAATATTTAAAAGATATTTTATTAATGAGATAAATTTTTTCTAATGGCTCTAATTCATCCTGGAAAAGTCCTTTTTGAAGGTTACTCGTATCCCCTCCATAAAAAAATGCTTAAACAAAATGATATCTTAAGAAATATTATCATCAGCACTCCTAAATATCATCCGGTACTTGAAAAGCTCATATTCATCCTTCAAATATTGATGGACTAGCATCAATGAAATCCTATGCTAACATGAAGAAAATGTGCATACTCTTTACCAAAACCTCTTCAAAAATCGTTTGTCAGGGAGTCAATAAAAAGGACTTTAAGTAATCACAAGGCAAAGCACAACCATTCAAATTTTGAGATATTGCAAGACCTAGTTATTGAAGGTATCCATTGTATATACAGAAATTTAAAAATGTCTGATATGAGCGCAGTTAAAACTATCATTGGTTTGATTATTAATAATTTTTTGTATTTTTTTTAATTAGGGGGATCATATCGTAATCAGAGGGTGTTTTTACTATTTGTGTCAAGGTATACATGCAAAAATTCAGGAGTTAGGTCTGGAAAGCCTACAATGGCCTATAAAACTCTGTTTCTTTTGTGCCTGATGAACGGCTAGTCTTTGTTCCCTTATGTGATATGGCGAATGCTATGATACACCTAGGTTACCAAATGGAAAATATTCTCCATTATTTTGATAAAAATTATAAGGGAGTTCGTAAGGTTCGCTAAACAGATTTTGCAAGGAATACCTTGATGGGATGCACGGTCTGCCAGATTTCAAAAGAGTGATTATATATTAGATATCAATCAACCTATATAATAATAATAATTAATAAATATTTATTTTGTATATATATATAATTATGCCTTACCTAATAAAATAAAGATACCTTATGACAAAATTAGGCAAGCTTAGTTTACTTAATATCGTAATTGCCGATTAATATTATATCAAAAAAAATAATTATAGAAAATAATTTTTACGAAAATAATAATCCAAAGGTATTTTTTCCGGGGGTTTAGATGCCAAGGGATTTTATTACCAAGGGGTTTTTTTTCAAAGTTTTTTTCCTATTATCATAATAAATATATTGCTGCTATTTTATAATATGCGTGAGGGTGTATAGGGAGAGAACCTTTGCCTCCGGGGCGAGGTAGGGCGCGGGATCAAATCCTATCGTTGGCAAATAAATCCCTTTTCCGAAATCAAATCTCAATCTAAAACCTATTCCGACCTCGAATTTTGGGCCGGAACGTCCGTGTTGATAGATAGAAAATTTAACATTATGCTAGTCTCCTAAAATTTTATAATATTATTAAAATGATGGATAGTTGATAGATCAAAATTGAATTAACAAGAAGCTAAGAAAACGATCACCTATAGATTACGGAGATTATATATTAGATAATATATAACAAAATAAAGTTAATACAGTCTTAAAAAACATATATTAGAATATATAACAATAAATGATTTAAAATATGATATATTTATAATCTTTCAAATCGTAGAAAATTCAAAACATGATTAAACTTTTTAAATAGTCATGCGGAACAATTTGATTATAAGCTCGGTCCTGATTTACAAAATTATACTATTTCACGATCGGTCAGACTGGGCCGGATTTACCAGCGGGCTCCCTGACATTATATTTTGATTTATGTTTTATACATCATTACATTTTCAATACTTGTATTAGGAAAGCGATAATTTGTGGTGGGAAGGCCTGGTATCCCAATTTTTTGAAGACGACGCTAAGCTTACAATGAGCTTTTGCTTAGAAGATGGTCCCAAAAGATATTGTGAGTATTTTTTTTAATTAATTAAAATATTTTTTAAAATTATTTTATGTTTTATGCAATAGTTTTTTTAAAAATTATTTGCAATTATTCAACCGTCATGTATAATGTTTCAGTTTCATTTAAGTTTTAAGTTAAAAATTTTTTAAACGATTTTTATTTTTTAGAAATTTTATATCGGTTTGTTGCCGTTTGGAAATTTATATAGGTTATTTTTGGTTCGTTCCCGTTTTTGTAAGTTTTGATTATTTATTTTAATCATACCTATTTTTTAATATCTAATAAAAATATTTTGAAATCTTTAAAAAATGAAAACCAAACAAAAATTAAAGTGAATAAGTTAAATTTTTATTATTAAAAACTTGTAAAAAAAAGAGTAACGTTACATAACTACATATAAATCATATTTTATTCTTTAAATGTTTTGTGCTTATTATTTAAAATAAATATAATTTTAAAAACTGCGACTACTCGGTTGAAACTAGTTCTTAAGTATTTATAACGGTTTGGTTCTCTCTTTTTGAAATTTTGTTATAACTGTTCTGTTATGGATACGCTTCTAAAAATCATACCGGTTTCGCTCAATTTAGTTCGTCACCCTGATTATTTCTTTCTTTATATTTTGCTAATTTAATCGAATAATATTATGTAGTAGACTATACGAAATATGCAACATAATGGTTTCGTTTAATCAATTCTCAACTTACATTTATGATCATTTATTGCCCCTTTTATCCCCCCCCCCCAAAAAAAAACATTTACCCCTCCTTTTTATTTTAAAAATTGTTTCAATTCAAACAAACGCATTAATAAAGGTATAAGCCGCACCCTGATACCCAGATTTTTTCGTAGCGTTTTCGAGGGTGGCGCTATTGACTTGTATTTTCTTCCGAGGCATTGGAAAGAGATATACCATGGCCCGCACCCGCACTCTTCCGGTCATCCTAACAATTTGAACAGCAATAATGGGGAAAATTCTCCTTCCTTTTCCAAAAATCTTCACCCTCCCGCACCTCCTTTTCCTTCTTTTCTCACTATGGACTGCGAGCAGGCCACCATGGTTACTGTATTGGATAAGCCCATGTTAACCAAGGTTAATTAATTTTAATCATCTAACACTATTATACTATATTTCAGACGTATTTAAGATTTTGTCTATGTTTATTCATTATGTCTGGTTAGGCCTTCAATAAATAGAATCGAATAATAAAATATTCGTATTATATGCCTAAATTTTTAATCTAAATTAGTAGGGGTGTACCGATACCACTTTTTGGAGGCCGATCCGATATTTCCGATATTAAATTGATATCGGCCTATTATCGACCCGATATCTTATCTAATTTTGTATTCTGTAAAGATACCAATGGTTTTAAATTTTAATATACTTTTTATTAGTATAACATCTATAATTTAACTATACCATAACATGTCATTTGAATATATTATAATGATCAGTTATAGTTATATACAATTCAATTGCATTCTAAAAGTATATAAAATATTTTTATTGAAAAATCACTTATTTATATAATAAGTGTAAAAAAAAGTTCGGCAGTACTTATGTGCGACAGAGCTTACTATAACTTGTGAAAATCTCACAAAAAACGGGCAATCGCTTATTGATAGGAAACTTTGGTAATCCCCTTTTTATATTCAACCGCCTCACTTAAGAGGACTTAGGTATTTTTTTTTATATATTCAACTGCCTCACTTAAAAGGACTTAGGTATCCCTTTTTTTTAATATTCAACTGCCTCAATTAAGAGGACTTAGGTATCCTTTTTTTTTATATTCAACTGCCTCACTTAAGAGGACTTCGGTATCCCTTTTTTTATATATATTCAACTGCCTCACTTAAGAGGACTTAGGTATCCTTTTTTTATATATATTCAACTGCCTCACTTAAGAGGACTTAGGTATCCTTTTTTTTTTATATATATTCAACTGCCTCACTTAAGAGGACTTAGGTATCCTTTTTTTTAATATATATTCAACTGCCTCACTTATGAGGACTTAGGTAAAACGACACAAAATTTAAAGACTAAATAATTTATATATTAATAATAATTTTCTTACAACTATTTTCAAATACAAATTAGTTAGATCGGGCAAAAAGAAATATAATAATTTCCAATTTTTTAAAGCACAATAATATATTAAAATATAAAATAAAAATACGCGTGTATATATGCTTTTTCTTTTTTCTTGTCTTTATATACCGGTATTATTATTATTGTTGTTTTTTTTATATTTATTTTGTTTGGTTTTTTTATATTTTTTTGAAATATACGAAAAAAAAAATAAGCATTTATTATTAATATTTCCTTTTTACTCATATAACAACCAATATCATTACTTATCTCCGGAGTAGTCACAATTTTTAAAAAAAATATCATTTCATCAATTTTATTCACACTTACAACAGCTCCACCCTCTTTAAAATCCCGAATCATCGTCGGGCTCATCCAATAAATCCCGCAATTCCTCATCTGAAAACACCAAATCCAGCCATTCCTCCAATTTCTCACCTATGGATAGTGGGGGCGTCGATTCCCCGGTTCCCTCAATATTGTTAGCGTTTGAATCCAGGGTCTCTTCACGTCCTATCATTATTCCAATTGTTCTCCCCTGGGCTAGCTCCCTCCCCTTCCGTAGTCGCTGAAAGATCGACTAGAGGCCATCGGCCGGCTTCTTTTGGTATTGAAGTGGATGATGGAGATGTGGATCTTCCATCGGAATAAACGGATCTCACTTCCGCCACTGGTTGGACTGCCGAGACAAACCTTATGGGCGATCTTTTCCTGGATCGATTATTTGTCATAGGGTTCTCCCATCGGAGAGGACATCGGCTCCGCACATGTCCCCGCGCGCGACATTGGAAACAGACTCTATTGTCATGACCACTGGGTGACATCGGTTGAAAGGGGACCCTGGGTATTGGGAGCTCGTTCCTCGCTCTTCTTGGAATAATACTAAGTCTCACCTCGATCCCACTAAAAAACCAAGATTTATGCATGGCCATTCAGCAGACTGATTACTATGTCAAAAGTTTAATTAAAAAGAATTTTTTTTTTTAAAATCTAATATGTTTAACAAAATATCTCCTTCTAAAATTTTCTTTTCTTTTTTTTTTTTAAATAAATTCTTCTGAAAGTTTTTTTTTTTTTACGTTTAATAACCCAAAAATTTCTTTAAATGAAACTTAAAAGATTTTCTAACTTTTATACATTTTTTTTTTTTCGAATTTCATTCAACTCATCTACTCGATTTTTTTTTTATTACTTGGCAATGACATTGCCAATTGCATATTTTCCCCAAATCTTCGATATACTGTGGATGATTTTAATTTACGATTAAAACATACATGACATCTTCTTGATTTTATTACTTGGCCATGCCATTCCCAAATTGCATATTCTTCCCAAATCTTTGACATACTACGAATAATTTTAATTTACGATCTGAACGATATAACATTTCCAATTTTTAATTACTCTACAATTTTCTTTTATTTCAAACGTAATTAATCAACTTTAGCAATTGATACTTTCTCGTTATGTTTATCATTTTTTTTTTCTTTTGTGTTTTTTTTTATATTTCTTTACATATTTCGATTCCCCAATTTTAATTTTTCCAACAGCTCCCATAACTCCTTTCGACGAACAAATTTGTAAATTAGTCCCTATTTTCTCTCCCAATACATCAAAACCGGCATTATCTCTACCCTCTCGTATAACGAGCGTTATATTAAAATATAATTTCCCTCTCATATATTGAGCACAATATTATCGTAGTTCTTTTAAACGATACATCAGGCGTTATATTAAGATAATCGCATCCGCGGATATATATATATATTAAGTATCCCTATGTTATTTATTTTGGGTGCTATATCATGATACATATTCTCCAAAACTATAAGAGTTTTTTTTTTTAAAAGAAATTATTTCGTTTCCAATAAATCTTGATACTTCCTTTTGTTAACTTGGGATATTGGGGGGGGGAACGTTTCGTTTCATTAAACCACGTATATATATATATTTTTTTTTATTTTGGATAATATACTTCTACTCATACTCCCGAACGTAATCTCTCCGGCTCCACGCCCCTTTTTAGTTGATCCCTATGCCTAATTCCCTCTCTTCCGTCGGTAAACTTCACTCGATTTAGTTTGTGTCCAATGTTTTCCATGATCACCCCAGATTCACACTTTTTTGTACCGCCATATATTCTAGCCCACACGGTCTGTCCCGCTACAAATTCCGCTCTCATTTATCTCCCCTTCCACTTCTTGACTTGGTTTCTGCTTTAACAAATCCAATAATATCCGAGTTCGCCTCCCTAAAAACTTCTCTGCCGGAGATTGTTCTTCTCCCTTTCGACTGTTGTTGTAATATGCTACTGCTATCCAAATTTCCCCTCATTTTGATTTTCGTAACCAGTTTTTGACAACCGCCACCATCCTCTCCGCCTGACCATTCGAACTTGGGTGGTACGGCGGCGCCAAAATGTGTCTCGCCCCGGTTTGAACACAAAACAACCTGAACTGTCCACTTATAAAGGCTGGACCTCCATCCGATACTATTATCTTCGCCACTCCGAACCGAGCCCAAAGATTTTTTAACGTCTTTATCACCACCTGAGTTGTTAATCCCCTCACTTCTTTGTACTCTACCCATTTGGAATATGCATCCACCACGAGTATATACATTTTGGCTTCAAAGTCAAAGAAATCAACGTGTATGCGCTCCCATGGCTGTGTAGCCCTCGGCCATGCACTTTTCTTGTCTTTATGCGGCATACTCGCCCATGCATTACACATCAAACAACTCCGGCTCATATCTTCAATCTCTTTATTCATCCCAGGCCACCACACATATTCACGACCCCACTGCTTCATCTTTTCAATTCCTTGATGTCCCGCATGAATCATGGCCTTTACCTCCTCCCTTAATTTGTATGGCACGACTCCTCTATTTCCTCGTACCACGCACTCGTCTACTATCGCCAACTCTTTCTCTACATGTTTATATTTTTTATCTCCATCCCGCCACTGCTTTCGACCTTGTATATACGCTTTAATCCGCGTCAACTCGCGATCTTTTAACGTGGCCTTTCTGAGTTGTTCCCATGTAACCGGTCCCCCTTTAGATATTCCTACTATCGTCCTAATTAGTCCGTGTTCATCCTCTTCCTCCATATCTTTAGACCCACTCTCTTCACAATCTTCTCCCGCTCCACACCTAGAAAGAATATCCGGTAAGTAATTCTCTTTTCCTCGCCGATATCTCAACTGGACATCAAAACTGCCTATCATTAATAGCCATCTCTGCAGTTTAGGCGATAGCATCAGCTCCTTGTTATCCTTCCGAAATAGATGCACCAGCGGGTTGTGATCCGTGTATACTATAAATCTGCGCCCTATTAAATATTCTCGGCATTTTGTGAGTCCAAAAATGACGGCTAACGCTTCTTTTTCAATAACCGAATATCTGGTCTCCGCCGCTCTAAAAATTCTCGAGAAAAATAACACAGGTCTCTCCAGGCCGTCTACGAAATGCAATAACGCTCCTCCTACACCTCTATTGGACGCGTCTACGGCTAACATCACCTCCAGATCATTGTTGAAACACATTAAAACTGGCTCTCTCCCGATCCTAGATTTTAACTCCTCAAACGCCTCCTCCTGTTCATTCTTCCAATCAAATCTTTCTCCTTTCTTTAACAATTTATACAACGGCGCCGCTATTTGTGCGAAACCCTCAACAAATCGGTGATAATAATTTACCATTCCGAGAAAAGCCTGCACCTCCCCTTTATTACTTGGCTTTAGCATACTCGTAATCCCAGTCATGTTTTTATCCAATGGTCTCACCTCCATTCCCGTGATTTTATGCCCCAGATATATGACTTCCGACACGCCTAAGACACTCTTTTCAGCGCTTGCCCGCAACCCCTTTTCTTTAATTCTTCTAAAGACCTCCTCCAACCTATTTTCATGTTGTTCAGGAGTTTTTCCCGTCACCAATACATCATCCATATAATAGAAAACCCCTTCTAAGCCCTGGAACACTGCTGCCATCGTCCGTTG